GAGATACAGTTTCAATCTCGTATTAAGTACCATAAGTTATCTATAAAAATAACACTCAGTCCATATGGCTACAACACATCTTTTCCAGCTATATGAATCAAATGTTTGTCCCAGATTGGATTTTGCTTGATAAGCATCAGGGAATAGCCCTGTGAACATGGGGCAGATGTAAATCTTGGTATAAATAACTTTCCAAGAGTCTTCCAGAAACCATTATCAGAATCATATGATGCAAGGCTTAGTCTGAATCATATTTCCAGTTCTGAGAATATTTCCAGTACCAAAGAACGGGACTGTTCCAGTTCCAGAAAACTGAATGGAAACTGACCCAGATATGGACAATCAAGCACATGTCCAGTGTGAGGACCAATTCAGACATTACCTGCTACATTCAGTTCCAAGAAGAGAAACCAGCTGTGTCCAAATCAAAGGAGGAAGACGTGCACATAAGCTTCCAGCTATGAAAAAATATACCTAGCAAGGTTGTTTATCAACTCTGACATGTAGCTGTTGTGCTGGATTAGACGTTCCACTTTGCACCTTTTTCTACTGCAGGGCATGCAACTTGCAGCCTTCCAAGTATTGTTGGGCTATGACTTCCATCGTCACTCACCCTTGACTCTGCTGTCTACTGCTGATGGAAGCTGCCCACCTTTCTTTAGCACCTCCACAGGTAAAGCTCATGAGCTGACCATTTTCCATATATCCACTAGTTCAGGTTCAATCATTCAAGGTGAGGAATGCTCTGTTCCTATAGAAGGGATTCATGATTTAAAGCAGAAACTACAAAATGTAATCGCAGTGAGCCTCTCCAAGTGAAGGGATTAACTTCACCAAACAGAATGTAGGCTATTCGCCTGAAAGTCGCTGTTCAGGCGTCTAATGAAGAATTTTGGTTGGCCACCAACCAAAACAAGGAGCCAAAGTGTGTCTAACGATATGGGAAATACAATATCTTTAATGGTTTCTTCACCAGCTTCAGGCAATCCCAGTCTGTGGACAAACAAATTAGGATGTGAACTTCTACTAAGTCAGACAGACCATTGGCCCATCTGGCTCAGCATTGTCTACACTGATTGGCAGAAGCTCTCCAGAGCCTCAGGCAAGGTCTTTGTCAGCAATACCTGGAAATGCTAGGGACAAAAACAGAGACTTTCTACACTCAAAGCACATGGTGTTCTTTAAGGGGAAGACTGGACTGGGCTGCCATGGCGGAAGCCATTGCCCTGACATGAGATCCAGCCTCTTTGTGAGTACCAGCACCCTGTTGGGAGTGCTTTGCATATATTATTACTGTTAGTCCCACAGCATTTTTTCAAGCCACCGCAGAACCTTGGAAGAGTTATAGAGCAAAAGGAAAATCCACACTGAATAATGCTCTCCCTGCTCACATGCATTACTTTCCCATAGGGACAAACAATAGAAAAGCCTTTAGCTTCCTGTTTTGTTTGCAAGTTGCCCAGAAGGACCTGGCTTGGCCACCACCGACAACAGTGGGTACACCTGGTCCACAGATTAAGAACAAGTTCCATTCCTGAGGTCATCTATAAGTCAAATTTGTATGTAAGTTGGATCATGTATATAAAAAGCATATAAAACACTTAAGAAACACTTCCATATACACTAAAACATTTTAAACACAATACATCATCATCATCATGTAATTAAAAAGTAGCTACAGTTACTGAAGAGAGAGAGAATCTGGATGTACAGTACAGTTTTTAAAACAATTTAGATAGAAATATAGAAAACTAGCAAAAATTATTAAAGGTTAACACTCTTTGAACTAACATTAAGCCTAATATTAACTGGATGGTGATGGAGATGGGACTTCCTTATCCTTTAAAATTCTCCCAATTGTCACTTACTCTATGTGAGCCAAAACGCACTGGTTTGGATTCCCTAGTTTTTCATGAGCCTGAAAAACTTCTGCAGTTCCACCACCATGGTGAAACTAATCCTGACTTTCTGCTTTTTCTCTCCTCCTCCCCTTTCCCTTTCTCTCCAGCCTTCCTTTCCTTCCCTCCTTCCTATACTTCACTTCCTTTCCTCACCACCTGGCACTTGCTGCCCACCACCTGAGGGCACCTGCTCACCACCCCTGCCTGCCACTCACGGCCACCCACTTGCCACTTGAGGACAAGGCAGGACTTCCAGGTTTGCTTGTTCATAAGTAGGGATTGTTCTTAACTCATATGTTTGTAACTGGGGGACTGGATGTATCCACTATAAAACAGAATGGTACAATAGATTGGTCTTTGCACCAATCAAACAGGGCTTTTCTTATGCTGTTCTACTTTTAAGTCTTAGATGTGTCTTGTGATGCGGCTGCTGCTAAACACTAGCCAAGCTTTGCACAGTAACTGCAGTGCTCGATGCTTCTCCTTTGCATGTTTTTATATCAACAGAGAACATCTTGCTCTCATTGGCTGTTTGCAATAGCTGTCAGTTCTCTTGAGTTATTGTGCTGAACAGTGCCTACTGTCCTCCATCATGTGCACTGCACTGCACACTTACTAATACACCCATCTGACAAAACCAGCACATTTCTCTGTACATAACATCTCTCCGTTGAAAAAAGGCCAGGATGCTGAGCAATAGGTGTATGATGGTGTACAGAGTTCCTGCAAACATAGCTCTCTCTCTTTCTTTCACTCTCCCTCTTTTTCCAAGATGGAATGCAAAATTTACTTGTTTACTTTATGCAAACCCTATTTCTTCCTTACAGATGGATACGATCTGTCAAAGACCTGGAACATTTTATCCCATAGCAAAAACTTTGTTTAAACTACCATCTGTTCTTTCTAGAAGGGCACAATAAGACCAAGAACTATTTACCATTCCATAAATTAAGAACAGAGTTTGGTTTTTGGACAGCTTATTATAAAAATGAGGTAAGGGATGACTTGGAGTCTGATGGCAGGACTTTTGTTAGGACGTTCTTCATAAAGAAGCATCAGAAATTGTCCTTTTGTTTGGGTTAAGAAGTCACAATTGATTTAAGATGTAAAGGAACTTCAGTGGCTATTCATATTGCTAAGTCACAATCTGCTGCATGTGTCCAATCCAGCAGAGAGAGGTGTATTACCAAGAGAAACCTCAATGTGGCTCCTTGGTTAAATGCCAAAGTCAAGGAGTTGGTTGCCCACCTCAGATCAATGTGTGCATATTGGCATCTTTGAGCTTTGCATTCCTGGCGCTAAGCTCTATTCTTTCCATTCCCATTCTCTGTTCAAGATGTCTTCCTCTCAGATTTCTCTTGCTCTCACATTCTCTTTGTGGCTTTTCAAACCATCTCACCTGGCTCCTCACTTGACAGGCTGCATTCCAGTCCCTTGTTGCTTCCTTGTTTCCTAGGCTCCTGCATCCTTGAACTTCCCTCTCCCAGGCCCTGCTTTGCTTCACCCATCTCTGCCCCTCTCCCCCTGACCGAGTTTTGATAGTAGGGATGTCTTGTTTGCAACTCTCACTACCACCAGCAACAATAGCAACACAATTCCTTCAGTAGATCACCCTATAGATAGCCAAATGCTTAACATTTGTCTCATGTATCTACTATACTACAAGCATTTTTAAAAATATGAACATACAAAATTATTCACTCCTCTGGCTGGGTCAATTCTTCCAGATTTCTTAAAGTATAAAGGCTTGGATGTATTTGGAATGGATCTCAGGGACTGCATGATTAGCCAACAAACGGGACTTGCAAACATTTCTCTTTTGGTTATGAGCCGGTCTTCTTTATACACAAGAAAATAGCACAATTCCAAAACAGAAATATAAGACTGAAAAAGAATCTATTCTTCAAAAGATGGGGTTTTTAAAAGCCAGCATGCCTGCACAGATCTGTTTGAAAGCAAGAGTGAAGCTGAAAATCTATTCATTGTTATGGTCTTCTTGGGGACAACTATTCATCAAAGAGAACATGCCATTTCTGTTAGAAGTGTTAATGGAAGTCGTGTGAGTTACATTCCATCACATGCCACAGAGAAAATGTAACCATTCTTAAGAGAAGACTGATACTAGGGTGAGATATGGCTCAAGCTGTTTTTAAAGATAGTTAAGGAAACAGTCCTATCACCAACTTAAAAAAATAAACACTGATATATTACTTTAAATACGCTTAATACTGATTGATTAAAAGTTGCTTACAGCCATTTTTATAAATTAGTTCTAGGATTAGCAACCCACATTTACCCTTATGCACTCATTTTAACTTGTAAAGGTTCCCTAGGAATAATTCACACCACAACACAGGAAATTCTGCAATTAAGATATTGCTTTTCCCAGGCATTTTCCATCCCACAAAACAATGGAATGTGAAAAGAAGTGTGGAAACTTTGTAAAGCAGCAGACAGTGTAAGAAACTAAATTATTCTCTGATATTTTGTAACACACGTAATCAGCTTTTATAAGGCTTTAACTGACTGCAGCCTCATATGGCTTGCATTCAATATGTCACACTGAATCATGACTCCTTCTTGACTTGTACTAACAAAAACAAACCCAATTTTCTCTAAGTATGTGAGCAGGGTAAAAGGGTTCCTTAATTTACCGTCTAAAGGCAGGAAGCACCATCTGAAATGATTTTCTCATTTGCAAAGAAGTGATAAACAACTTCATTAAGTTGTGACTAATAATAGTACAACTATATTGTGTGTGCATCTAAGTTATCCTTCAGGAAGGTAGACTGAAAAGAAGCTGTGTGCAAAGTAGCCATAGTTCTTATGCTCAGTAGCTTTAAAAGTACCCAGTAAATCTTTTTACATCTTCTAAACACTTTCAGACTTTGTCAGACAGGGGCTATTTAGCAACAGTTTGAAATGCTGAAAGTTAAATCTTGAGAACAAAGTCAAAGAGTAGCAGAGCAAGATACAATCTTTAGAACCAGCAAAGCTAAACCACCAATTGTTAAGTCATATAAGGAGTAACAAACCCATTAGAAATTGTTAGAAGGAAGATTTAGTCAACCATTGCAGCCAACATGTAAATTTACAGACCTTTGAATGTAGTCACAGCTCCTTATAACCTTTTGTCTCCAGTCATATTACTGGTGCTCTGCTTCCAAATACTGCTTACAACGCACAAGTTCCTTTTCCCAACTCTGTCCAAAGGAACTGCCCAGATTTTGTGGTGTAATCTGAGCAGGGAAGTACCCTGTGCCTATGATACGGTTAATTCACATTTTACCTCCTTCTGATGTGCAGCAGGGAAAAAGCACAAGAATGAAAAGACTGTTTTCCCTTCAGCAGAATCTAGGAATTAACAGCAGCACATGTGTATGTGCAATTTTGGTTTTTATTATACATTTCAAAAGGTTCTCTGCTCTCAAATGCCTTCACTTGAGCATCCACAAATTCTGGCCCTAATCCTGCCTGCTTAAAAGGTCCACATCTTTTGCTAACTTTTCTATAGGCTTTCAGGGAGCTGATGAAGCGCTGGAAATCTCAAGATAGCCATCATGCATGGTCTTGAAGTAGTGGCTTGCCATCTCTCACTGTTTGAAGAACAGGGGCAAAAGAAATGTGCTAAATGCTTACTCCAACTTTTGAATCTTTTCTGCTGCGTCTTAGCTAGATTTTGTTTTGTCTATCATTCTCTGAAGTATATTTGCTCTTCTTCATTCAGCTGCCTTAACTGGCCATTAAGAAAATCACTAAGATACACTTTGTAAGACATGTGCTAAATAAAATCAGAACTACTTGCAAGGATCTATCATTTATGCAAGGGAAGATATTGGCACAAACAATTGGCACAAATAGCTGGCTTTTGTTTGAAAACCAGAACTTTCTGCAACTCATCTACAAGTTAGTTTAGATAATAACCTTTGCTAGGTTACTTTGCAGATGCTTGCATTTTTTGAGCACTTCAAATTAGACTTTGCAAAAACTCAGATGCAAGTTAAATGCATAGTGACAGTATATTAAAACCAAGCTAACAAATGAGGATATTGTGATTACTTGCATCAAGTCATCTCTGACTTATTAAAGTGACCTCCAAATGCCCTGTCCTGTACAGCCCTGCTCAGCTCTCAAACCAGTGGCTTTCTTTACAGCTGGGGTCTCAAACTCACGGCCCGCGGGCCAATTGCCAGGACGGGCAGGACACGGGGAGGGGCCCTGCGGCCTTCAAAGCACCGGCAGCGCCCAGGCTGGCCTCCGGGAGCGACGCGGGATGAGCGGCCCCCCACCACCACTGTGGTGGTGGAATACTTGATGGGTCCCAGCCTCATCCAGACTGCCCCCAGGTAAGTTGAGTTTGAGACCCCTGCTTTACAGAGTTGCAGTTGGCGCTCTTCTTCTTCTGCCTTTGATTCCTTTTGCAATATTGTCCTCTCCAGTGAGTCTTGCTTTCTCATGATGTGCCCAAAGAATAACAGCAACAGTTTCATTATTTTTGCATCCAGGGAACATTCTGGCTTGATTTTATCTAGACATTTGTTCATCTTTTTATCAGTCCATGGTATTGTCAAAGCTCTCCTCCTTTTGAATGTATCAGTTTTCTACCTCTCAGCTTTCATACCCATGTGTAGTGATTGGGAAAACTATCAGTCCAGGGTATTCACAAAGCTGTCCTCCAGCACCATGTTTCAAATGCATCAATTTTCTTCCTGTCAGCTTTCTTCACTGTCCAGCTATCACACCCATGCATGTGGTTAGGAACACAATGGTCTGGTAGATCTTGGCCTTGGTCTCCAGTAAAATGTCCTTACATATGATTATCTTTTCTAATTCATTCCATGCTGCCCTATCAAGTCCCAGTCTTCTAATTTGTTGGCTGCACTCTCCATTTCGATTGAGATTGAACCAAGGTATGCAAAATCTTTCATAATTCTTCATCGTTGCCAGGTCTTCTGTAGTCACAATTTCTGTTTTCTTAATGTTCAGCTGCAGTCCTGCTTTAGCACTTTCTTCTTTGACTTTCATCAGGCCTCATTTAAATTAATTGCTACTTTCTGCCAATAATATGGAATTGTCTGCATATCTCAGATTACTGATGTATGTTCTGTCCATTTTCGGTCCTGCTTCCTCTGAGACTAATCCAGCTTTACTTACAATACATTCTGAGTACAGATTGAACAGATAGGAAGAATTAAAAAAACGCTCTTGTCTGATGTGTTTGCCTATAGGAAGCCATTGTGTTTCTCCATATTCTGTCCTAAGAGTAGTTTCTTGGCCATGATACAAGTTATGTATCAGGACAGTCCAGTGCAGAGGCACACCCATTTCGTTTGCTTGTCATGTTCCACACAGTCAAAAGTCTTTGTAGTACTCTATAAATCACGGCTCCTCAAACTACGGGCTGCGGGGCGGATCCAGCCCACCATGGCCATCCATCTAGCCCGTGCCACTGTTTGCCGCCCGTGCGCGGGCGCTTGCTGCACATGTGGGGAGGTGGTGGCTTGCTCGCTCGGAGATGGTTTTGGACTCTCTGGCAGATCTCCAAGCGAGCCACTGCCGCGCGTGCCCAATGCCGCCTCGCATGCTCCCAAGGCCACCCTGCTCGCGTGACAGCACCTCATCGGCCCACGACTCCAGGCACCCCCACCTCACCAGCCCACAACAGTCACTGCAGCCTTTCAACTGGCCCCCTATTCAAAAAGTTTGAGGACCCCTGCTATAAAGAATGCACTAGTCTTCTGAAATTCTTCCGTGTACTCCAGCAGCCAACATGTATCTGAAATTCAATCTTCATTGCCTCGTCCTTTTTGGAAGCCAGCTTGAATATCAGATATTTCTCGTTCTTGAGGCCTGAAATTTACATTGAACATTTCCCCTCTGTGGGCCATTGCTTTCCTTCCCATATTTGTTGGAATGATCTTGTTACAATTTGGGCTGATTCATTCTCCATAGTTGTTCTGTAACCCTAAGCCACCTCTGACCCATGGTGACCCAATTCAGTCCCTACAGCTTGGGACAGTTCTGTCTACTCCTGATGCTTTTTCTCCTTCCCGGTGCTTTCAGAGCATCTTTCACTGCTCTTTCTAAGATTGAAGGTTCCTCCTCATAGGATTCCTTTGCAAAGGAATCTTTCAACTTTTCATCTCTTCTGTATTATTCCATATTTTGCTTTCACTGCCTCTTTATTTTCTCCCAGTAAGAAATTATGCTCCCCTATAGGACTTCCGCTGGATTTCTGGATGTTCTGAAAGCTGTCTCTAGCTTTTCCTCTCGTTGCTCTTTTCTATTTTGTTGCACTGATCACTGTCATAGTTATTTTTATCCCTACATGATAGTTGCTGAAAAGTTGCATTCCAGACTCTGACCCTATATCTGTCCCCTTTTGCATTTACTTCTTGCCCGCCTTAGCACTTGTGAGATTTTCTTGTTACCCAGCCAGTTCACTTTAGTTCATTCACACCAAGTACTGTGACGTGGAACCATTCTGTTCCTTGCTTTACCGTTTCCATTTTGCCTTGCTTCTTATGACTCATGTTCCATGCTCCAGCTCTATGTGCTGTGCAACATCAGACCTTCCTCTTCTTGTAGGTCCCAGACAGGTGTTTCTAGGGAGTATATTCTACATTTTGGATACCATCCCAGTAGAGGCCAAACTCAAAGTAGCCACTTCCTGACTCTCAGTGTGAGGAAGTTCTCAGAGCAGAGCCTCATTTGATGATCTCAGAGCATGGAATAACTAATAAGTTCAGGGCATGGAGAGCTTGTCCTTTGGATACTGATACCAACACCTTGGCTTTGGCCTCAGAATGAACCAGATGTGATCATAATGGCACAATATTGATGAAATCCAGCCTAAACGTCCAGTTCCACAGGCAAGACGTGGCACAGGAAAGCAATTCTTACAGACTTCCCCTTCTCCCTGAAGCTCTCTGAATCTCACAAAACCAGTAGTTCATTCTCCTCTTCAGAGTTCGTCCTGGAACCTCCCAGCCCAAGCATTTCAGAGGAGAGGCCTTTGTCTAGAGACTGTGAAGAAGACCAAAGGGACTCTGGACCCTCAGGGGAGAGAGCTATCACACAGAACCCTCTTTCAGGGACTGAGAGACAGGGACTGAGTAGCCAACTAACCCCAGGGAACGGCAGCATCAAAATGCAGCCAGCTGCCAAGCACAGAAGTGCCCACCCAAATAATAGGGGTGCTTTAAGATATATTTATGTTGCAAGTTTTCCTCAAGAGGCACAGGGGGGCTCCTTAGGCTCTGGCTTCAACCACTTCTGTTTCTGACACTAGGTGCTTCAACAGAATCCAAGCACCAGTTCTGTGGCTTGTACTTCTATCATTCCTGTTCTTTCTTGCTTAACTTTGGGCAGAATACTGTTCTTGCTTTTGGACCGTACTCTGTCCCGGAAAAGGAATGAGTGGAAAGTGCTTTCCTCCACCACCACAAACAGATACCTCTGCTGGATCAAAGGTATGTGTGGAAGGGCATCTCTGAACCCAAGGCATAGGGTAAAATCCTACAGCTAGAAGGTTCCATCGGGTCCAGGGAGACTTACTTATGAATAGACATCTGAACCGCCAGTGTGTTGATGTCTACATTGTAAGTATCAGCACATTTATTTTTCATTCTATGATTTTCTAAAGACACTGATTTAACACCCACAGTGAGTTAGAGCTCTGCTGTGTATGTATAAAATATCAACAATTAATTAAGTTAATATTTTTGTTTAAACGTGTCATGCTGCTGTTATTATTCTTGAGCACTGAAAGCCACTATGCAATTTGTAGACTACTGGCATCCTGACTAAATTAAAATAAACATTCTAGCCTATTAATCTAGTTCATAAATCCATTAATGGAGTGTTTCTGAAATTATGCCTTTAAACATTCTTGGTCCCAAATTGTTCCAATTAACCTCATGCTCCCAGACTCCAAGCTACAGATGTACGTTAGCCAATTAGTAAACCAGCTCAAACAGAATTGGCATACTCACTTCAGGGGTATTTTACTCATATATGCATCTATTTATTTATTTATATTTATAAACCACACCACATCTCATTAGATCCTGAGCTGGTGAACAATACCAACTATGCTAATTATACTAACAGTATAAACGCACAAAACCTCTCCTAATGGCTACTCCCAGTAATTTGGTATAGGTGTT